ATATGCGTCCAAAAATAGTAAATAATTTATTATTTTTTTCCATTTTATTAAAAAAAAAAAATGTTTAAATCACACTAGGCAATTGGATTGATCGAAAAATTAGCAAAATTTATTAGGAAATATAATTTTCTGTAGCGTTTCGTACCTAGTTGTTTGTAAAGTCAAATGATTGATATATTTCAAAAAACAGCATTTCAAAGTGAACAAACCATTAAATTCTTCTTGGAATATTAGTTTTATTTGAATTAAAACTACATTAGTTCAAAATTATGATTTTTTTTGTTTTTTAAAGAGTTACGAATTAATATTTGTATATGTTTTGATATTTATAGTCGTTTTTAATATCCTCATATCTTTTAAAAAATATATCAATCAACTGAAATGTGGCAATTAGAATAACGTAAAATACATAAATAAATAGGCAAAATTACCTTTTCTGCTCTTCTGCAAATGCTACTACCTTAGGAAATGCGTATTAAAAATATATTCAATTTAATCATACATAGATGGCCTAATTAAAATAATCTTAGCTTTAACAAAAAACAAAATTAGAACGTGGACTGATGTAGGTATTCTAGAGGCTTTATAAATACCTCCTAATTTGAAACGTACATAATGTATAGAGTGTTGTAAAATTGATGAAAAGACTTACGTCTTTTATTTCATTAATTTTACAGCTAACGGAAATGTATCTAAAATATTTCTGAATTATAGAAATTGTGTTTTTTAATAAGAACATCTTAGTAAAATTAACCCCACAATTAAATTTCATTCTAAAGTTGTATTTATATTTTTTATTAATTGATTTTAAAATTACCGTTTTTTTATTTTAATTTGGATTTAATTATACTTTCTATAGACATCGAATAATATTTGAGATTTTGACCTACTGACTCTGCATGTAACATCTCTCTTTGTCTTCATTTTCCTTTAAAAAAAGATCTGTGAGAAATGAACAATAAAATTTGTTTGTTCTTTTGAAAAAAAATTTTTATTACTAACACGTCTTTTTGAGATAATTTTGTTATAGCGCAGTGTAAGACAAAGTCATGTAAATAAAACCCCGCTTCTGTAAATACCTTTATTTCATTTCTTGGATAATTGTTTATCTCAATTATTAAAATATTTATTTTAAAATATTTTGTACATTTTTTTTTCCAATTTGCACAAAATTATTTATCATTTATTTGGTTCTACCCGAATTCTTGAGATTAATATTGTAACTTAAAAAGTATTGTAATGTGTTATCTTTTTTATATTATTTATTAAGATATATATAATACTGAAGTATACGGAGTGATTTATTAATTCGATTTATAATGCTCAAAACGACTAATTCTGTTGATGTAATTTTATGTAGATGAAAATCAGTTAGTGGTCTTGTGGAACTGAATTCAATAAAACACTAGAAATTTATAATTCTACAGCTAGAGACTGAGGACGTTACCTTGTGTATCGAAAAACGTTTTAGGTTTATAAATGCTTGTATGTGGAATTTTGGATTTCTAGTGTTTTATATAATTTTCCTTTTTTTGGTTGCTATTTTATTATTATTGTGTTCAGTTTGTATTAAAAAAAAAAAACAATCGCTCTGTGTATCAGGTAGCAAAGGAAAAAACGGTGCTTCTATTTTAAGACGTATTTAATTAAATTATTCTTGATTTATACTTGAATGAGCGCTATCTTTATGTTGCACGTATTGAATGTATACAGGGTGTCTGTCGTGATTTTATTTCAGTTTCTGATACCATGTAACTGTGGTTTTACGTATGAATAATGGAATGCATTGTAATTGGCCAAAATTTCCAATTAGGATTTTGTTTTTAAGATGTGTACAGTATACAATCAACTCTGCCCTTGTAAATAAGTTTACTTTCTTGTACATGTAAATGATTTAAGTCATACTCCAATGATATACCAAGTATTTTTTTGTGTATGTAATTTTCATAGTTTTTGTCTGTTTATGTACAATATGGATGAATATTAAACGGAGAAAAAAGGAAAAATAGGGCGTAAGATACGTAGATACCTTTTAAAAATTCTTGATGTAACGTATAAGTAATTTTGCGGAACTAAAACTCAATTTGTGTGTGTTGTAGGTAGGTATTATTATTGCAGACCATTTTTACCATAATTTTATGTAAGTGTATGTAATATCCTTTCGTTATATAATTGTTACTTTTATTTTACTTAAGCGAATTACCTACATAATATTAATCAATTTTAATTTTCTGTTTTTGTAAAGTCATTAATTTATACTAAGTATTTTAATTTTTGTGTGATATGTATGTAAATGTATTAAAAATGAGAAATATTTAATCTTTGATTTTTTTCTACAGCCTTTGTTCTTTTAACTGTATACGTTATCAAATATTCTAAGGAAACAAGCATGGATAGTAGGCAACTCATTGAGCAGCAGAATATTTTGGTTATCTAAACTGAAGGAGCCTTGGTACCTATGAACTACACCATTCGGTTCGTACCATAGAGCATGGAAGTTCGTATACACAAACCATTGACATTAGAAACTACAAACTACTTTATTAATGATTGGTCTATGGTTGTTTCATAGATAATCTTATTTACAGAAGTGAGGTTATTGCGTTAAATTAAAGTAGTAAATAGTGTTAATAAGTTGTAAGAAATAATATGTAAAATAATACTTTATTATTTTTTAACTTATTTCCTGTATTTAAATAATTAAATTAATAATGTCTTGCAATTATGCAGAGGGCTTATCGCCTTACGAAAATAAAGGAGTTCTTGGCGTTGCTGAGGTAAAAACAATTTTGAAATGGTAGTAATGTCCTTAATTTTGTATTTTTAAACTATATACAGAGATTTGAATCTCACGAAGTAGTAGAAGAAAAGTGTAGAACTTTGGCAGACTGGATCTTACAAAGTAGACATGTAGTTGTTCATACAGGAGCAGGAATTAGTACGGCAGCTGGAATTCCTGATTTTAGGCAAGCAGTTGACTTTAAAATTATGTTTTGTTTATGTATGACTTATTATAGGAGTCCCAAGGGTGTTTGGACTTTAGAAAAACAAGGTCTTAAACCACAAATAAATATATCTTTTAATGATGCTACTCCAACTAAAACACACATGGCGTTGAAAAAACTAGCTGACATAGGTTACATACATTATATTGTAAGTCAAAACATCGATGGACTTCATCTAAAGACTGGGATTTGTAGGGAGCTTATTGCAGAATTGCATGGTAATATGTTTGTTGAAAAGTGCAACACTTGTGAAAAGTAAGTAATTTCTATCAATGGTGTTTTAAAATATGAAATGTGAACTCTTTTATGTTTTAGGCAATTTGTTAGAAATTCTGCAACGACTAGTGTGGGTCAAAGACTTCTAGGAACCATGTGCAGAGGATATCGATTGAATGGCAGGCCATGTAGAGGCAAACTGCAAGATACAATATTAGACTGGGAAGATAACTTGCCTGAACTAGATTTAAATATGGCAGATTACCATTCACAGTAAGTCAACAATTAATGGAATAATAGTGTTAAACAAGCTATTAACAAATATTTATAGGGGCTGTTAATGATTGATTATCTATTAAACATTTTAGGAAAATTTAAAATATTAATTTTTGTTTCTATACTGGAAAGGGAATTTTTCAAATTAATAAATAATATGCAATTTTAAAATAAACTAAAAAATGAAAATAATCTTTTGAGTCACTTCTAAAAACCAAAAGAAATTTAAATTTTTAAATTTAAAGAAGACTATCAACAATAGGTAAATAGTATATTAATGGGCATTTCAAAAGTAGGATGTACCTGTATAGGGAGGTGGTATATGTATACATGTATATGTATTACTTAATTTTTCTTGTAATTAGTGTACAATAGTTTATTATTTACTGACTTTTATTTTATAGTGCTGCCGATTTAAGTATATGTTTGGGATCAACATTGCAAATTGTTCCTAGTGGTAATTTACCTGTAGCTACAAAAAAAAGCGGTGGACGTTTAGTGATAGTGAATTTACAACCAACAAAACAAGTATGTTTGATTTATAACCAGTTAATTTACATACAGATAGCATAGCTATTACTTGTTCATAAATCTGGTACAAAATTACTTAAAACTACATTGATAAACTGTACAAATAAAGGCATTGGTTAATTATTTATAGCAGTCCATATAATTTTATGATGTATAAATGGATCTCTTTTTACTTGCAGGACAAAAAGGCTGATCTTTTAATCAATAGTTTTGTCGACGATGTATTTGTACAAGTGATGAAACATTTACAGTTAGAAATTCCTGAGTATTCATATGAAAACGACCCCACAAAAAAAATTAATGATGTTATTGAATGGACCATTCATCCTGTTTATGTGAAAGACGCCAAAAAATTGTATGATACCTTCTCTAAGAAACCCAAAAAACGGAAAAGTGACGAGGATGTGTTAATTAAAAATGAAAAGAAAAAGCAAAATGATTCAAGTGAATTTAACAGTTACAAAATAGATGAAAAATCTGCCTCAGAGAATGTTGAAGAATTAAAAGAATGCACTGCTAATATTAGTGAAAATGCTGAACAAGTTATATCCCAGGCTTCAGCAGAATGTATTTAGGCGGTAAAGATTTTATATCATCAAGAAAAAACGAGAATATTGCTTCAGTTGTGTAAGTTGACTTTTTTAGAAAAACTGCCTTAGTGCATAAAAAATTATATTTGTATGAAAGCAAATTAGTATAGGTGGTAATGACCCTAATTCAATGAACCTCAAACTTATTAGAATAGATACATACAATTAGATTGATTCATAAAAATATTTATTTACAGTTAACCAGACTTACACATGTTGGTCACGGCTATCATCCTTGATAATACATAATATACAATTTAAAAGTGTACTTTGTAACTTATCCAATAATTTTTATAAAATGTTACTTTGCTAAATTTAAAGAAATTTTAAGTTGCTGTAATGATTTTTTTCCATTTTGAATCAACATCTTAATGGCATATTCGTCAGTTGTGTTAGCATTGTTTCTGAAGTCTGTCTGTATCCATTTCTTTAGCTCATCCCTGTAATTCTTATCAGGTACTTGTCTAGCTGTTTTCAAAAACTGCCGGTACAGATTTTTTACCTCTCCTTTTAAGATAAACTAGAAAGATCAATTAAGTAAAAAAAAACCACTTATGGTGAATATTAACATACATGTTTTAAAGAATAAACATGTTTAGGTGACTTGCTCATCATTTTCTATTCAGGGTGTTGGTAGTTATAAAATATCAAATTATGTTTTTTAAAAATTATCTAATTGTAACCATTTTAAAGGCCTATTAACATTTTATAGGTTAGAGTAGGGAACATTACGTTATATATATCAACTAACGAGGATGCGAAATTAGTCTTTTTTGTTTAGGGTCCTTAATAATATGAAACTAAATACTATTTTAAATGAAATAGAATGCGGTGAAATCGTTTTTCGTTTTCTAAATTACTTTCGTATTCGTACATATTTCTCTTCTTTTTCTTATTGTAGTATCTATGGTTCACGTTAGTACATCTTTATCTATGTATTACTAGTTAGTTTCCCTTGTATATCTATTATCTATGGTTAGTAAGGTTATAATAAAAAGTGTAGGTTTGACGTTTAAATCAGTTTATATAATTATGATAAGTTTATTTTAATTTTGTGCTTATTGTTTAATACAACACAATATGTATAATACGGTGTAAATTTTAAAATAAGCAATGCGTTTGAATTTCTTTACATGATTAGCGTGTACAAAAAAATAGCAATGATGGATTATGAATTTAAAATGAAAACTCAAAATGAACGAGTAAAAGTGGAAGATTTATTTGAATATGAAGGCTGTAAAGTTGGTCGCGGGACTTATGGTCATGTATACAAAGGTAGAAGGAAAGATGGGTCAGATAATAGAGATTATGCATTAAAGCAAATTGAAGGCACTGGCTTGTCGATGTCAGCCTGTAGAGAAATTGCTGTTAGTTTCTTTTTGTACTAGTAGATATTCCAATCCAAAAAAGTAGATAAGGAAAAAATAAGTAATTCTAAAGTGAAGGTTTATTTATTGTATTGTATAATCTATGCACCTACTCAATTTTCTGTTGGTGTCATTAAGAAGTTTTTAATTGTGGATGTTGTGTATCTTAATTAGTTACCATATTTATTCTTTTAAATTGTGTGGTTGTTTTATTTGTATAAAATATTTTTTGTGATAAGAATTTGGAAAGAAAATATATTAGCTAAGGGTGAAATTATGTACATATTAATAATGTTCAGCAACACCTACAGAAAATTGAGTTTGTACCCTTATAATCTTACTCTGAAGAAGCCTTATAACCCCAAAGCAAAACGTAGGTGTGTAGATTATAAAAATTAATAAAAAACCTTTACCCAAAAATTGTTCATTTTTTCTTCAATATTAATACCGTAGGGGAATAATTACTAACCAGATTAGATAGCAATACATATGTACAAGCCTGTAACATTTTTAATTTTCAGTTGCTACGTGAATTAAAGCATCCCAATGTGATAAATCTTATTCGAGTGTTTTTATCACATAATGATAGAAAAGTCTGGTTATTATTTGATTTTGCAGAACATGATTTGTGGCACATAATCAAATTCCATAGGGCAGCAAAAGCAAACAAGAAACCTGTTATGGTACCAAAGGGTATGGTAAAATCACTTTTATATCAAATATTAGATGGAATTCATTATCTACACTCCAATTGGGTTTTACATAGAGATTTGAAACCTGCAAATATATTAGTAATGGGGGAAGGACCTGAAAGGGGTAGAGTCAAAATTGCGGACATGGGTTTTGCAAGACTATTTAATGCACCCCTGAAACCACTGGCTGATTTAGATCCTGTAGTGGTTACATTTTGGTACAGGGCACCAGAACTGCTTCTTGGAGCAAGGCATTATACTAAAGCAATTGGTAAGAAACATAGAAGTCACTTTAGGATATTTGACCCATTGACTAACAAAATACAAGAAAAAAGATTATTAAAAATATTTTTTTTTCTGTACAATGGCTGCACAAATTTTAATATTTTTATGTAGTAAATAAAATTTCTTTTTACACTACTATAAGAGTAACAGAATAAACAATTTTCCTTAATTTATTTACTTTATATTCGTGATGGTGTTTTATGTATCTATTTAAAAACCAATAATAGTAATGTAAATTGTACAAAGGCATATGTAGATATTTCTACATAAGAAGTGGTAAAAGAAGTATAAACTAAGGCTTGACTCTAATAAAACATGAAAGTATTATGTAAAATGTATATATAGTTATTATGTTACATAGATATTTGGGCGATTGGTTGTATTTTTGCTGAACTTCTAACGTCAGAACCAATCTTCCATTGTCGCCAAGAAGATATAAAAACCAGTAATCCTTACCACCATGACCAGTTAGATAGAATATTTAATGTTATGGGATTTCCACATGAAAAAGATTGGGAAGATATAAGAAAAATGCCTGAACATCCCACATTACTGAAGGATTTTAAGAAATCAAAGTAAATTAAACTGTATATATTCAGGTATATTTATTTAAATTTGATAATTTCAAATTTTAATAATTTTTCTCTGTTGTGAAATTTTGTCAAATTTAAATAAATATATATTCATGTTGGCAGGATATTAACAGTAATATTTAATTTTTTTTTAGTTATATTAATTGTTCCCTTGTGAAGTATATGGATAGGCATAAAATCAAACCTGACAGTAAAGCATTTCATTTATTGCAAAGACTACTATTAATGGATCCAAATAAACGAATTACATCAGAGCAAGCAATGCAAGATGCTTATTTTCAAGAAGAACCACTGCCAACACAAGATGTTTTTGCTGGTCTCTATAATCTACATCGTTTATTTTAACAAAATAATTATTAACTTTTGATTTGTATACAGGATGCCCTATTCCTTACCCAAAAAGGGAATTTTTGACCGACGACGATCAGGAGGAAAAGACTGATAATAAACAACGACAGGCACAACAGCAACAGCCCCAACAACAGCAGCAACAACAGTCTCAGCAACAGCAACAACAACAAAATCAACAGTCTAACAACAACGATAACCATGGTAATCCCGCTAAACGACCACGTTTGGGTCCACCTCACCCTAGTCAAGTCAATCCTCAGGTAATACATTTTCACAGTTTTATAATTTTTCACTAAATAGTTGTAACTTGATATAATATCAAGTTATTTGCAATATATTATATTATGAGCCTATGGTTCTTTAAAGGAAAAATCACGTGTATTCGGCAGTTGTTTTAATTGAATTGTTTTATATTTACAGGTTGTTCCTATCACGTCGCAACAACAAGAATTCCATCAACAACAAATGTTGTACAATTCCAGTAGTCAACAGCAGCAAAACTTTCAACAGAGGTATTAATAGAGGTTTGAAATAAATTATTATGCTTCCTACATAATAAGGACAATGATCTGTATTTTGAAATAGCTAACTTTATTACAACCTGAATTAAAATTAGCTACATATTACTTTTCAAGCAGAAAAAAAGTAATACAGTTTTTCTAAATTAAACGATGTATATTTTCCTACTTTTAATGTCCATCCATTCACATATAAAAATTCATAATTAAATTCCAGAAGATAAACTTCTAGTCGAATGAATACTTTTGTTCAGTGAAATTATCTTTAAAAGTAGGAGCTCTAAATTTAGGGTCCAATTTTGGTCTCAATGCTGCCAAACTCACAAGAATTGCTTCTTCAGTCCTTATAGTTCGTGATCCCTGATTTGGTAATGTATTCAAGTAATGATCAAACAATAATGTTGGATCATTTACTTTTAATAACTCATCACTTTCAAATGCAGCTTCTAATCCAGCAAGTCCACCAAACATCACTAGTAAATGATCATACACAAAAGAACTGCATTCATCAATTGATTTACCTTTATCGGAAGTTCCCAACAGTAAATCATACCTAATAAATAAAACAAAAATTTAATATAATATAGTGTTTACTTATAAAATAGTTTACCCATCTTTGTAAGGACTTTCTGAAAAAATATGTGAAACTGATTCAGCTAATCTTACAGTATATCCCCAATAAACACCTGTTTCTTGACGTGGTGTGTGAGGAGAAACAACTAGTCCTTTTAATTTTCTAGTTGGATCATCAGGATTATGAATCTTTACTGTGCAACGAAGACCAGGTGTTAACAGCTTATCTACTTCAACATCCTTAAACAAGCCTACATAGACTTGAGAGCCTCTGTTGGTTTTAGGTGGTTTAGTTGTTACCACTCCTTCCCTAAAGAAAATTACATATCAATCTGGAATAATATGTAAGTATATTATTATTATCTAACCTGAAAGTAAAATGATCATCTTGTCTTAAATGATGTGGAGTATCTATTGGATTTAAAACACCTACAAAGCGCAAATCTTTATGAATAGGAAAGAAATATTTTCTAAGATATTGTGGACACTCGAGATACTGTAAAATTCTTGCTAGTTGTACACAACATCTCCTTGAAGTTTTAATTTCATTTCCAGTTTCAAGAACATCTTTTCTAATTTCACCTTTGGGCAAATCGTCGTAAACTATAATCTCATCAATCTGAAAAATAACAGCGGCTCTTGCTATTTGTCCTGCCAGGTATGTTCTGAATTCATCACTTTGTGCGTTATCTAAAATTGAACCTGGCACAGCAATGCTTATTGTCGATATTTTTTGTTTTATTGGTTTTCGTTCTTCTACATCCTCGCTCTTTAAATTTACTTCTTCTTTAATCTTCTTCTTTAATTTCTTTTCTCGCCATTTTCTCCTTTCCTCCTTGCGTGCTTTATTTATTTCTTTCCATGACTTTAAATCTTTTCGCTCAAGTGTACAAGATTTAGCATTCTCTGTTTTTTCCATACCTATTAAAAAGCCTATTATACATTTTTTGCAACGAACTCAAATACCCTAAGTAACCTCAGTAATTAGTGTAGGTTAGGAATCATAGATAAGTTTATGAATAAAATTCATAGAATTGAATAGAATTCTGATATTAAAACTATATATTAAAATAATAGAATAATAAGGGTTCAACCGTGTTTTAAATATTTTAAAATATTATTTGGCAAAAGAAGTAATTTCAAATATTGCAATTTCTGAAATTACTTGTATGCAAAATAATTTACACTGGTGTTTGTGTGGCTGCATATGCAATGTTTTTTCCTTCGTAATTAGTGGTATTATTTTTATTTCTTAATTTTTTAATTTGTTGGTTTCTCATAATTTTAAATTGAATATTATTACATATTTCCTTTCACATTTTGCATTTTAAAAGTAAAAAATTTTGCCTTAAAATAAAAATATTGATGCTTGCTTTTAGGTGTGTTTTGACTATTTAAAAGTGTAGTTAATTCTCTTTTCTTATTCATTTTTACAGATCTACCGATAAATGAAAGAGTGTTGAAATTTATTTTGACCCTACTGAAAAAAAAATCGTGTACCTACTTCGGATTTCGTTTGAAGTTCATTAGGGTAATAAATACATGCCACAACATATGTAATATATAAATACTTCTAAAACTTGTTGTAAATCACAATTGATAATATTTTAATTTAGACACATATACAGATAATATTGTTTAAAATGTAACTTGGTTAATAATGTGTTACATTTCAACTTTCAATCATTAATTTATGCATGGCATTTATTACAACTATTTTCATTTAAAAACTTTTGCTAAGAAGAAGGCTGTTCATAAAATGTATACTCATTATTATCCTTCCAAAACATAGCAGCATACCGAAGAAGTATAAAGGTTGTATACTATAATTTATTTGATAGTAACAGAGAAAAGAGTTGGGAATTACTTTAATACAATATTACACAATTTTTTTTTAGCAGGGGCGAAATTAATTATATCTAAATACTCTTCAAAATATTTCATTTTACAAGAACACAAAAACTTTAGGTGCCATGTGCTGCAAAAACATTGGTTGTGTCAGTCGTCTTTATCTCAGATGTTAAACGTTTCAAATATCAAAAGCAAAATAAATGTGTGACTACCGTTTCCGGTAGTGTAAGTGTTAGCTTAATACAAGGGATTAACAATTAATTTAATTTTTTTTTTAAATGCGGTGATATAAACTATTTATACTTATATTTTGACTTTAATTTGAGTTAGAAGAAAAGAGATAAGGATTAAATATTAAAATTTTCAGCACAACAGATGTTTGTTTTGCTTATTAATTTTAAACCTTTAAAATATTATTTATTAAAAATAGTTAATAAGTTTTTTCTTTGTTTATTCAGATTGGCTAATCAATAAGAGAGATTGAGAAGTTAATTTTAACCCTAGCGATGACGACATGGGATGTCTGGCCTGGCCTCCTTTCTCAATTTGCTTTTCTTTCCACACATGTAAACCATGGAACGTTACATTCTACAGCTAATTCAGGTAATAATACTTAGTTAAATTAATATTAATTACAGTTCATTAATCTGGTGTCAATTTGGTTACCAAAATAAGGCCTAGAACATGACGCATAGAGTGACCAACATATGTTACTTATTTGTTGTTGTTCATTAATTAGTTGGGGGTTGTAGGTAATTGGGAAACTCAGTTTATCCAAAATTTTTCTAAAAAGGCCTAGTTGGCGTTTATCTCCACTACGTTTTGCTGATTTTGCCACAAAAGTTCGTAGAGAACATCGATTTACAGTTTCAACTCTCAATTTGAAAACGTTTTTATTTCTTGATTATTAATATTTTAAACTTTGATTTTAAAAGCCGTCTTTAATAAGGAATTCAAAACTGCTACTGCAGCTTGACGCTCAGAATACTTTGCAGTGAATTGGGTTGCCTACATCAAGGACGTGCAGTCACCATCCGTATTTAAAACGATATGTATTTTAAATTCATATATATTTATTGGTGGTACTATATGTTACAGTGCGAGTCGAAACTTGTAGACAACTGAATTTTTGATTTTAATAAAATAATCTAATCTTATTTGGTACATAAACGCCTACAAAAATAATTACGATTTTACTACACTTAACACTGTTAACGTAAATTAATTTTTTTCACTTTTTTTCGTATATTTCTCTAATGTGGGCATTTTTACCTTGGGTCCTGTACATTACAATTTTTTTACGACTTGTGATAGAGAAAGTTTTTTACAGTTAAAAATGCGGAGAAAAACACTGTTAGCTTTATCTGAGAAAATTGTGATGAGAGTATAAAACGATAATACATCTACGTCAGCAGTGCTTCATCCAATAGCTATCGCAAATTCGAGGCAAGCTTGAGACGTTCTCCGTGTATTATAAGATAATTATAAGTTCGCAGTGTAATGTAGATGTAGGATGTTTTGTTCGCGTCCTTTAAATTCAAGTTGCCGAGCTAATTTTTTCTAAGAATTAGTTTTATAATTTCAATGCGGAAGGTTAGATTCACTGATTCATACTATATTATTATTTTTTGCAATTGTCCACAGCATAAATTAAATCGACAAAATTGTTTTATATTGTATTATTTTATTTCATGTTTCATTTATTCAGTGTGAGTGTTTAATTCTTTTTTTTACCCATTTTTCGCATATATATAGGATTAAATATTTAAAATTTTCGCGTAACAGATGTCTATTTTGCTAATTAATGACTAGTAAATTGTGTATCTATTATTTTAGCAGACACCTTTGAAATATTATTGGTTAAAAGTATTTAATAATTGTTCTTGACCGTTTCTGCAGATTGGCCAACAACTGAGAGAAATTGCAACTGGCAACTGGCATCCTTTGGCCCATGCTTACTGAAAAGACAAGTAGTTTCCTATGGTATTTTAGCTGTTCATCTTTGAGGCTCTTGTAGTTAATTAAGGTGAGCATACATGTTATATTATATGTGTGGTGTGTTTATTTGATATTCACATAGAAAAGGGCTCAGCATTACTTTAACAATGTATCATGCACGTTATTTACTTAAAAGTAAATTAATTATATCTGAATACTTTTACATAAGACTTCATTTTACAGGAATATTGGAAGAACTTCGGATACCATTAAATTATAGAACACTGATTGCATTAGGTCTATTTAGTCCCAGACAGTAGCTTTACTTATGGTCCGAAAGAAAGCATGAAAGTTCCTTTTTCCCATGGGAACGGGGAAAGGATTTATAACATTGAATTGGTATGTAACAGAATCAATTAATAATAGTAAATCAAATCCTATAAACTTCGATTTCTTAGACATTTGTAATATGATTCAATAGACAACTTTTAAACAACGTTTTAGAAATGGCAGAAGCAGAACAGCAGAATTAATGTGGAACTAATATTTTCATCAGTTTGAATTCTACTGATATACTTGATTTAAAAATGTTAATTAATTACTTTTTCTTGCCTGTTTCAATAGATTGTCCAACAAATAAGAAGGGATTGCAGTTAATTTGATGCTACTGAAACAGTCCATAAATTTGACATCTTCACTTTGCAACATTATGCAGATAATTTTTGCGGTAACAATGGGAGGCAATCGAAAATTAATTTGGAAGCAACTGAAACAACAATTGTCTGCAGTAGTATCCCTCCTAGATTTGGTTTACTCATCATATTGGTAGACTTTATAACGCCATTTTCTACAATTAATTAAGGTGAGAATATATGACTTCATTAATATTAATAGCTCTATTAATCTCTCATGGAATTTCTGTTAATAATTATCTATTGTCAACAGTATAAATTGAGGTTATTATGCATCTACATCTTTTGACCTATTATCTATGCTCTTGACAGTTTATATTTTCCACAGAATAAGTTGACAGTTACCATTGATCTATGGAGTTTCTTTTTAACCTTTTTCTATTGTCTGCATCATAAATTGACGTCGTGTTATTTGACATTTATCTATGTCGTAGTCTATGGTTGTGGTGTAAAATGGCGTTAAAATAACCTTTGTTGTTTTGTAATTCAGCTATTTCACTTGCTTTTTGATGCGTTTTTAGTTGTGTTAAATGTTTCTTTATTAATATAGTGAAATTAATGTCTTTTTGTTGATTTCTACAGGTTATCCAACAAATGAGAGAGAATAAATGTCCAGTTTGGTTTTACTGAAACAGCCATGGGTGTTGTCTTTCGTGAATTATATTCTTGATTTGCTGTTTCGTCTTCGCTTTGTAGCACACTGCAGTTAATTTTCAACCCATGAGGGAGAGCAACTGGATATTTATTTGAATTCCACTGAAACAACAAATTCTCTACTACGGTGTTCCTCCTGGAGTTGGTTTGCTTTTTACACCGATAAACTTTGGTTCTACAATTAATTAAGGTGAGAATACTTGATATAATTAGTTTTAATTGCTCATTATTAATCTGTTACCACCGTATCTGTTTCAGATCGACGTTGGAGAAGACAAAGATGACCCCATAGTTGAAATCTTGCATGTTCTATCTAGAATTCATTAAGTTGGTTTTATTGAAATTAATTTTTTATTTTGCATGTTTTTTATAGTTAATTTGAATTAGTTTTTATTTTGCATGCGTATTTTTGTTCATTTTATTTGAAGTAATTGTTGATTGTAGATATTTTTATTTTTTTTTGTATGTAATAGTAATATAGTAATAGAACTAACAAGTTCAGTAGTTGTAGCATAGTCTAACATGTCTCTTGCTTACCTCTTCGCTTAGCTTACTGCATATTCTTACTATAAATTGCTTTGCATTTACCCTACGAATTCTACATGATTCAACGTTTCGTTATCGTGTGTCTTCCTTCTCACCCTTGTGGAATTAGGGAGGGCCTCCCCGAACGACTTCCCTTGGGCTTAGCTATTTAGTTGATCTTAAAAGTGTCTTATACACTTTTCGCGAGTCTACTCTAGCGTTACTTCCTTTCAGACAGGGTACAGTGGGTTATCTGGAATAGGAGCAATAGGCGACTGCCCAGCTTGCCTTGGCGAAATCTGTCCGATCTTCT